GCCTGTGAGATTCAGAGTCACAACGTTATGGAGGTTTAACTTTGGAAAAGGCTCTAATTCTTCTGTCCTCTGAGAGTTCTGGTCTTTTACTAGCACAGTATGGACTCCTTGTTCAGAGTGAGCTGTTCTTTGGAAACTGCTCGTTCCTCTTGTCCATTCTGTCTGTTCTCATGGCTTGTATTGGTTTATTCATTTCCACTGAAATACAGGTGGATGTTCTGCCTGTTTAAGGGTGGATTCCTCTGGCCTGCGGCTCTATACCGCCCCCTACCGGAACCCTGAGTCCTGAAACAGAGCTGAATGCTGACCTCCAGCGGTGTGACCAGCAGCAGATTAGAGGCTGTGAGGCCACTCTGATCATTTCTGGTATTCCTCCGCGGAAAAGAGTCTGTTACCTGACTAGAGAGGATTTTTTTCTCTCCGGGTCCTCTGGCTTCCTCCCACCCTCCAAAAACCTGCATGTTAGGTTGGTTGGACTCCAAACTGCCCTTAGTGTGAGTGTGTGTGGTTGTTGGTCCTTGTGTGTCTCTGTGTGTCCCTGTGATGGACTGGGGACCGTCCAGAGTGACCCCGCCTCTCCCCATTGGCTACTGGGATAGGCTCCAGTCCCCCCTGACCCCATTAGGGGATAAGAGGTGACAATAATGGATGGATGTTCGTCTTAATTATCTGTAAATCTTTAAGGTCTTCTCTTAACTTGAAGTACTGTCAAAGACAGAATAATGCAGTTAAAGACAATAGTCATCAAGCATCTAATGGTTATTATCAATGCACTACATTATATATGTTTAAAAAACTAAAAAAGTATGGGTCTTTTTTTGTTTTATAATACTTTCTATGTGCACGTCGGCTGATGGTAATAAACTAATATTGTGTCAATGCTCACTGAATTCTAAATGGGGCATTCATCATATCTATATAGAACATATTTGTTCACTGTTTTTTTAACTTAAAAGTCCTGGTTATTTGGGCTTCTCTCTCCACAGAAGATGTCTCACTTTTCTGAGCATCTGATAAGTAGGAAAAAAACAAAAACTTGCATTAAGGCATAAGTCAGCAGGAACTCCCTCAGAATTATGTATGGACCAGCAGTAGATCAGGGAGGCTGGTCTTCATAAGGTTTATGGAGGCTTTAAAATTTGTATTTATAAGTTTGCTAAAATCATGCATAGTTAATATTGTAGTTTACCTGAAATTTTGATTAATTTGTAAATTGTAATGCATTTATATGAAATTGTAAAACACACTTTCCGAGGAAATGTGCACATAATTGTGCTTGTTTTTTACTTTTCTTGCCACACTTTTGTTTTCATATAGTGAAAATTGAGTATGCAAATCCTTTTTAAAGAAAAGATATTGCAAACCAGGTGATTTATGAGCTGTGAGCTGGGTTAAAAGGTCGTCTCTGTGGTGACCCCGGCTGAGCCGGAGCGGTCAGTGCTGTCAGGTAAACAGGTGTCCAGTGGGCCCAAAACACCTGCCACCGCCCCCAATAAATGTCAAATCACTGCTCTGACCTGCTAACACAGAGAGGATTTAGGACCTTTCTCCTCCTGAGAATATGAGCCGAGAAACTCTGGAGAGATTTGGAACATTTGAGAACTCTTTTTTTTCAGGTCCACCTAGGCCTTCAGATGTCTGCTCACTGTCTGTCGACATTATTATGACAGGTAAGAGGAGTTTTCCCAACTTAAGTGACTCAGAACAATGCTGTCCTTGTCTTACTCTCTAAATCATAACCTGCAGATCGTGGCCTGGCAGGGACCCTGGCGCCAGCAGCCGGGGGCCGGCTATCAGGCTTCTGCAGGAGTCCGACGCCAGGGGAAGCATGCCGGATCAATGAGCAGCAAATATTAGCTGTTTAGGGGTTTCTTTCATGTCTTCAAGGCTGCTCACGGGCCTGTTTGCTGACTTTATCTAAATGACAGCCGTTAGAAAGTGTGCATGCGGCGGTGCGCGCTTTCATCTGACCGTGAGCCGCGGGACCCTGACCAGGTCCAGCGTCCTCCATCACACACCCGTGATTTACACCCCCAGAGCACGGGGGGAGCACAGGTGGCGCGTATCCGGGCAGCCGGCGCGCGGCCGGGCCGGTGCGCAGCTGCGCGCAGGACGCGGGGGCGCGCCCCCGTGCGTGGCCCCGAAACGGCCTGCGCGGGTCCCCTCTAAACCTGTCCGGCGGGAGGGACGCGCAGTTACGGAGATATTTGCATGTGCTGTCACTATCACGTGAGCCGCGCTGATAGGTGCGACTCACCTGAAATGTCCCAACGTGCAGGTGAGTGCATCAAACGCCCGGGCCCCTATTACCCACAGACAGATAACACCTCCAGCCCTTTGAGTAATCAAACAGTGTCTGAGGCGTATGGAGGCCAGGTAAGAGCGAGAATAATAACTCAGAAAGAGCCTGATGTTCCACACACTGTCCCAGGCATGTTTAGACATATAGTTTAAACCTACCTGTGTTTGTTATGGTTATTGTTATTATTCTCCTATCCTAACTCTTCCACATCCCTCTGGACCCTCTACTCCTCTTCTTGGGCTTCCCTCCATCTCCTCCTGTCTCCACTGACTCTGACTGGGGATTTTCCCCTAGAGGACTTATTGTCATATTGATGATAACTTGTGTCTACTTTGTAAGTCACTTTGGATAAAAGCGTCTAAATGCAGAAACATGAACATATTACCAGTAGTTTTGCATGTGATCTCTGCAATGCTGTGCGTAATTCTGCTGTCCACTTATATATCTGTTACAAAACAGACTTAGATTGACTGCAGTTGTATTTTGAGATAAAGAATAAAGTGAAAGAAAAAATAGTTTAGTTGAGTGCTTTTCCGTCTGCCTGGGTCAATTTATTGACAGGCAAACCTTAAACGGTCCCCTAATCCATCAACGTCATTAACAGTAACAGTTCAGCTCACAGAGGTGTGACACTAATCTTATTAGATTATTTTATCACCAAAATGAATACAGTAACGACTGTAAGTAGTAATTACTGTGGACGTGATGCGTCAATACAAATGATCAGAAAACAAACAAAAAGTAATGGCCATTATTTAGCTAACTGTTCCATACCACAACCATTAGCAGGGAAACTTATCTGTGAGTCATTTAATAGATTCAGGAGGTCATCAAAGTATCAAACATCTACAAACATGAGATTAAAAGAGAGGGGGGTGGCAGGGCCGGACTGGTTTACATACTTTATGATGAGGAAAGCCAGTCTATCGGTGGGAGCCTAGAGCCACAGGTTTTAACCACATAAAAAACCTCAGACGGGTCACTGAAACACAACTCTGATGGCAGTGAGGCGTGGAATACAGATGAAACTGCTCTAACAACAGACGGTCATCAGCCATCACTTTATAATTGTTTATGATTATTATCTTATTTATGTATACCTCCATCACCTTATAAGACACAAAAGTCAGCTCTGATAAAAACATAAATGTTTTGCTTTTACTGGATAACTGTTCACATTTATCAGCGAAAGCTTTCCCATAAACGTCAGCCACTGGATTGCCTTCTCTCTGGCCCAGTCGAGAAACTGAACGCTGAAAATCATACCTGGATGAGGGTGAATCCTGCCAAAACAATGACCATATATGACATTCCAGCTAGTGTAGAGCTGCACTATGGAGGAGGGACAGGGAAGAGGGAGCAACCAAGCAAGAGAATTAGCCTACATGACATTTGTCAAACAAATAATTCTCCTAAATTGTCGATTTTATATCAAAGGGAAACAATTGTAATGGTTGTGAACTTTTACGTCAACAAAAAAGCAGCAGGTCAGTCATTTTAAAAGGGTTTTCTTTCCTAAATGATACAAAATATATCAGGTCATTAAATCTTTGGTCATTAAATGGGGAAGTTTCTTATCTTCACATTGACATATACTGTACAGGTGATGTCTGGTATGATACCTGGTATGATACCAGATATATTACCTGGTATGATGTCTGGTATGATGCTCATATCATAATGATGCTGTTATGAATTCCATCTTTATTCTCATATATGAGTGGCAAATATCTTGAAGATTATGTTCTAAAAGATGGAACTGAAGAAGACTTAACAGATTATAAAATATATTTTAAAAGCATTAGTCTATTTATTGTTTCATGATGACATAAAACACTTCACGTTTCTGCCCCACAAATAATGAACAAAGTCAAATAAACCTAAGCTTGCTTCTAATAGTAATTATTTAGCCTGAATTGGAAAATCTTTTTTACCACTGGAACTTTATTGATTTCATTGCGGCATAACAGAATGGATAAAGAGGTACCAGCATCGTTAGATGGATTGGATTATAATTCAATAGATTATAAATAGCTGGTTTAACTAAATTCACAAATGCTGTGAAACATGAGCGCGCCCACCAGGAGGCAATATAAGCGTCATATCCGGGAGTTTACTGGCTTGGAGTTGTACACAATAATTCAGAGCCAAAAGCCTAAATTCCGGGGCAGAAGTTATGTGAGGGCACGGGAGAAGCAGGGGGCTCTGCGGGGGGACAGGGCCTGAGGTCCCGGGGAACAGGACAGGGGAGAAAGATCTGTGCGTCCGCGGACAGTTTGCATGCAAGCCTGCAACTTTTTTCCTGTGAGTGGACAAAAAAAAGTTAGGAAAAACAGTCAAAAGCTGGCCTAAAAAAAACGACTCGTGTCTGTCCAACGCCCTCTGTAATCCTGACAGTTTAGATGCGCCTCAGAGTCCACATGAGCAGTTTAGCTCCATGAAGATGCAGATGAGAGTGTTTTAACTGTGGGTCAGTGCTCACAGCCGCCCGTACACGCTCCTCAGAGCAGCCAATAGAAGTTCAGCTTTTCCCTAACCGTCTGAAGAGTTCTCCTGAAAGCTGCCCCCCCCCCCCCCCAGCACAGCGCGTTCGGACCGCAACAAAGCCAATCAGAAACGGCCAGCGGCCACCTGCAGGAAGTCTGCCGTCCATTTATCTCCTCCCTCCCTGCCTGCTGTCAGATAACAGTCCCACAGTTGGATCGAGTGCCAGCAGCGCGCGGTGCACGCGCATGGACCCGGGACCCCTGTAACGGTTCCAGACGGAGCGCGTTGGCGGTGGGGAGGCTCGGTTCTTCAGCCCCTCTGAAGCTCCCGGAGGCTACTGAGTGACAGCTGAGGGGAGCAGGGAGGACCGGGACGCACGCGCCTGTCGGGTCCTGCGCGCGGCACCATGAGCGTCCCGCTGTACGCGCCGACCCCCGTCCAGCCGGCCCCCCCCACGCCCTTCTACATCGAGGACATCCTGGGGAGGACCGCCACCACCACCGCCATCCTCTCGGCCCCCTCCTCGTCCCCCTCCACGGCCTCGTCCTGCTGCTCCACCCCGGTGGTCCCCATCCCCACCCTGCCGTCCCCCCACTCCTCCTTCACCAGCCTGCTCCCCCCCTACAGGACGCACGTCTACGAGCCCACCCCGATCCACCCGGCGCTGTCTCACGCCGCCCTCACGGCCTCCTACGCCCCCGGGGGGGCTTTCGCCGGCTCCCTGTACCCGTTCCACGCGCAGCCCCCGCGCACCGTCGGGGAGTACGCGCACGCGCTGCTGCGGCCCGACGCTCTGGGTGAGTTCTGGTGGGGGGGGGTCAGCTTCTGGGCAGACGCGCTAAAAAAGCCTTTAAAAGTGTGTTTTTTTCTGTTCCCGTTTCCTTCCGTTCTGCCGAGCTCATCGAATTAAACGCAAAATATAATCTGATCACTTTTCCTCTCAAACAATCTGTTGGCTCAGTCCTCTGACGCATGAAACACATTTCTCTTTGATCACGACCCCTATTGTTATGAATAACCTTATTCTTTTGTCAGGGAACAATTTTAGATCAATTCAGATCCACTTGGAGATTGAAAACAAAGAGAAGAACTGACTGTTGGGTATGAAAACAGCACTGTGGAATCTGACGCCTCGTTTATGTATTTCCTCCGAAAACACTGTAGGCTAACGATCCTAAACTAATCATGAGGGCTGTTTTTACTGTTTGCTTGAAAGTTTTTCTGTATTCACAAGTCCTGTTTCGGTCCCAACGAAACCATGTTTGCATGAGGACCACGCTTGATCAAGCACGACGAGCTGCAGCCCGCTGGTTCAGAACTTTAACTGTCTGTAGAGTCCTCATGTTTTCCACTAACTACAGGTCTGATCACGGAGAGTTGCATTTACTGTGACAGACATTTGGCCACAATAACACGCTCCATTCATTGTATGAGGTGGGGGGGGGGGGATGCATGGCAACCTTGACTCTTTTTCCTGCGTCCCATTGTTCTTAAACATCAGAGCAGCTCTCCCGGAGAGAGGAGTCAGGCCTCCCGCAAAAACACGCACAATCACAGCCAACAAACCCAAAACACATTTCAGTTTGCTTTAAAACTGTCGCGGCTGGGACTGGACCAGGGGTTCGGCTCCTGAGCTCGGGTCCAGTCCTCCCTCGGCCCGCTGACCAGCCCTGGACAGGCCGGCCTCCCGCGGCCGGACCGGGCCTTTTCCGCTCAGAGCGGAAGCTGTGAGCCTGTCGATAGGAGTAAATCTGGTTTCAGAAGCTGTTAAATGCCTTCCTGTCTCACCCCGACCAGCCGCTTCCTCGGGTGCCCGGTGCACGCTGCTGATTATTTTATCGACATCCTCAATACAGACATATTCAGGAAACACTCGGCCTCCGATAGCCCGGGATCCGTTTTTCACATATTGTTACACTTCCTCTGCGGGGCCTGTGAGGATGTGACTGACTTTCTTTATGGATGGCGGCGAGAAGAAAATAAAGCAAACAGAGCACCAAATCAAACCCTGAAGGATCGTAGAAAGCAGGCCATCAGTGTAGAGGTTTAGCTGGACATTGGTTTTACGCATGGGGCTCCTTAAAAAGCCCCCGTGCGTCTCCAGGCTGGACAGTTGGTCTGGTTTCAGCTCCAAACTGTGGATTAAGAAAATGATCGACCACAAAAGGCCGATATTTTCCTCACACTTTAGCAGTTAAAACGTTTGAATGCTTCATTTGTGATTTCTTCTTTTTAGCAATTCATGCGTAAGGCCGATTTTATCACATTATCTCACACACACACACACACACACACCCATATCAGCTATTTAACAGACTACATTGTGTTTCCTGATCTTATCTGTTTTTATCATAACTGTAGTGGAACATTTAACATGCCACAGTTACGATTAAATGATAAGATTACTTACCACATATAGTCTGTCACATATGATTGTTCTTGTTAAAACATGGGCCCATTGATAAGCACTTTAACCCTGAAAAGAATAAGGACATTATAGTTATCTCTCTCTCTCTCTATATATATATATATATATGTATATATATGTATATATGTATATATTAAATGCCTCCGATATATATATATATATCGGAGGCATTTAATAATTTCTTAATAATTTATTTTAAATCAATTTTTTATTTTTTTTTATTTTTGAGTTTTTAGGGAAAGCAAGGTTATGCACAAGTCAGATAAAAACACACACATATAAATATAATTAAAGCTGAAGGCTATTTCGTGTTTTTAGTATTTATTTTTCGTATTTATTTGTTATTTTTGTGGACTGGAGTGCAGGGCTGCAGCAGAGGTTGAGTCAGAGCTGAGGTCAGCCCTCTGAGTGGATCCACCGCCACAATCACGCGCGGGCAGGAAGCACATGCGGCGGATATTTGGCCATAGCGTTCACACTGTCGAGACCTTCCTGGAGAGAGCGCGCGCTGCTGCAGGCCGCCGCGGCCATTGTTTATTCCAGGCCATTAAGGGGAGAGCAGACAGGACAGAAAACACGGCTGATTGCAGGCCGTGGCCCCCGGGACATTAATCCAAACAGGCCTGCTGACCGGCCTGTTGAAGGCTCTTTACCGTCCTCTGGACAAAGCCCTGCCCAGACCCGGTGCTGTCGGCCGGTCTGGTGAGATGGGGGTCTGACCGGGTCTGGACCTGCTTTCAGGGAAGCCGCTGCTGTGGACGCCCTTCATCCAGAGGCCCCTGCACAAGAGGAAAGGCGGACAGGTCCGGTTCTCCAATGACCAGACCGTGGAGCTGGAGAAGAAGTTTGAGTCGCAGAAATATCTTTCCCCCCCCGAGAGGAAACGGCTGGCCAAGATGCTGCAGCTCAGCGAGAGACAGGTGAGAGACAGGTGAACCCTAACCCTAACCCTAACCCTGGTTTAGCCGGGTCAGGGTTAGGACTAGGGTTAGGGTTAGGGGGGTTCAGGGGAATGGAGCAGGCGGAAGCTGTAGAAAAGAGATTAACCGGAAAAAAAACTCACACAAAAAAAATATGTATGTATATATATTTTTATAATAATATATTTTTTAATATTATTATTATTATTTTTTAATATAACTCTATAACTCTTTATTATAGTAATCCTCACCATGATTCTTAAAATCTTTTACATGTAAACTGAAGCCTACAGCTATTTAAAAAAATTAATGTAAACCTGTTCATTGTTCTTATAACAGAGAGAATAAAGACATTCTATTATATATTCATTTATAAATAAATAATAATTTATATATATAGATTCATTTAAATCCATTTTAAAAATTAATTTACAAAAAATGGCTGATCAGGAGCTTTAGAATTATTCTCACAAGTAGTTTTCCTATAAAAAAAAGCCCGGAGTTGAGTGGTGTTTTTCAGCTTTTTAAACAGAACCGGCGGGTTTCTGTTTCCGTCCGTGCTCCAGCCCGAGAAGACTTTATGTTCCCGGGAAACGGAAAATCTATTTAAATTCAGGGAGGTAAAAATTGGCAAAACGAGGAAGGACTGGAAGAATGAGATTTTTTTTTTTTTTTGGTTTAAATCGGAAGGTTACTAAATGATGGGAGCTAATCCAATTTTTGGCCACATGCTGCTGTCAAAAGGGAGAGAATAAAAAGAAATAAAGTAAGGAAAAAGGCCCCGTTATACCGTAAATCAGCCGTTCCTGCTGAAAGATCGGAGTAATAGTAATAATAGTGTAATAGTTTATTTACACACGTGTTAATGCAGATGAGTCCCTTGTGATTAAAAACGGCCTGATTCTGTTAAATTACTGAATACAGTTCTCAGACTGCAGAAAGCTGCCACGTTTTTATCATCCGAAAAAAAAAAAAAACCCACAATAAAAACAGTTGAATTTTCATTTTTATTTAGACAGTTTCTATTTTTTAATCTACGCTATGAACATGACTCTCTGTGTCCAGCCCTCAGGATTCTGTGTCATTTAAATTCATAAGGAAAGGCAAAAACGATGGAGATCTGAAAAACTGAAGTATTTAAATATAACAGCCAGGAAAAAAAGTTAAATCTGGAAACGTTAAAATAAGTGGAATTTTAAAAAGCGATTTTTCAATTATAACCTGGAGAGAAAACGATCTCTAACCTAACGGAAAAACGTTTATTTTGTAGTTTTTTAATTTTCAGCAGAAAATAACCTTTTTGATCATGTGAATTATGTCATGATTGATTCGGACTTATCAGGACTAAAGGAAACGAAATAACACCGTAAGATGCAGAACATCAAACCTTTATACTCAGATCATTTTAAAGCTCGTTTTGAAAACAAGAGGTCTATTGTGTAAATCAGAGTCAAACACTTCAACCCCAGCTTTATGTAGATATTTCCCATTTAAATAACATTCAGAATGTTTTAATATTAGATTAAAAGCTGCATAATAAGACGTTAAAAACAGAAAAAACACTCAGTAGATTCCAGGAACACTGAATTTATTCCTTCAAATAAAACCCGCTAGTTTTAAAACTGTACATTTAATCCACTTTGTTAGGCTGGATTTTATATTCTCCCAGTATCCATTTTTTTATTAAAGCCATTCAGTCTCTGTAAACCTCTGAATGAAGGGAAGGGGTCTGCAGAAATCCTGTTCTCAGGTTCATTTCAAGCTGAATTCTGCTAAATAATACTCAACCTGTGAGTTGTTTCAGTAAAACCGTTTTTAAATCATTGTCGTTAGTGATTAATTACATTACTAGTAACTCTCCTTATGTTGCTGTGTTAAACCACAGGTTTTGAACTGCCCCATTCTTCTTCTTTTAGGTTAAAACCTGGTTCCAGAACCGCCGGGCTAAGTGGCGCAGGCTGAAACAGGTAAGGCCGTCGGCCAGAGGTCCACCCGGCTCTGCTGTGGGTGGGCCGGCCCCTCACCGGACCCCCCTCTGTTCCAGGAGAACCCCCAGGCTGGGAAGAGGGAGGCGGAGGAGGACTGCGCCCCCGGTAGGAACGATACAGCCGACGTAGGGCCGGGGCAGGAGCTGGAGCAGGCCCACACGGCTCTGCAGCCCCCCCCCACACACACACACCCGGACTCAGACGTGTCCGACGACACGGACCAGGAGCTGGACATAGAAGACGAGCAGGAGTTCACACTAAAGCCCGACCCAGACCCACAGAGTCCGGACAGAGTCCACTAGAGCCTCAGAGGGAGAACCAGAGCCCCGGACA